AGCAGGAATTCAACATTACTAATATCATGGCTGCAAAGGTAGGTAACACCTTGCTGGAGGATGAAACAAGACTTCAGGTGTAACACAATGTTAAGTGCCTATATAATTCATACCCACAGGAAAAGGATAAACAGGGAAAAGAGAGACCTCATGGGCAGTACATCCTTACCTCTTGAATAAATGGTCGAACCCCACCCATCCAAGAGAACTGTACGAATTTCGGATTGGCAGCACCGGGTCAGACCAAAAGCCTCTAATAATCTCCCCTGAGGACAGAGCGTAAGAACAAGCCGATGCGACGCTTCTCCCAGGGCCCGACCCTCGAGGGACCCGCCTGCTGGCTTGTTCATAACCCTCAGCTGCCTTTGCGGTGGAAAATTCAGGAAATTATTGCAGCTTTTCCACCTTGTTTTATTGCTCTCCTTTCTCACAACCAATAAAAAAGTATTAAGCCAATCTTATACCCACCTTAAAACATTTTTTCCTATCCACACTACGCCATCAGAGAGAGATCAGAACACACAGGGGAACCTCTAACAAAGTTAGTCTGGAGCTGTCCTCACCAAAGAGGTGTGCAAACTGTTTTCCTATAACCCTTGGCTTGAAAGTTGAAGCAGGTATGTGCATCTTCCCCGTGGCAGACTAATACCAATGCAACAAGACCCTACATGCACTTTCCTTTTCCTGCAAGGCTCCTCTTCCATCATGTTAAAATAACCATTGTGAAACTAAACGGCTAGAGGACAGCGAGCTTCCTCAAGAAAATTCCCTCAGATCAGGTCCTGTCTGCACCCAATATGGCAACTAGTAGCAATTAAACGGGAATTTTCCTCTCAAACTTAGGCCATTTTAAATCCTTCCCCATAAAGTTCTGCCTCCTTCCAAACAACCGACCCTACCTCAAAGTCAGCGTTAAAAGCGGAAACATATGCAACCGGTAGAAAATGTTGCCGCAGACCAAGGCAACACAAAGAATTTTGTAGTAAAGGAGGACTAAAAGACCGACCGTGTTTTAATACTAATTCACAGTATGGCATCAACATAATTTACATGTTCATCAGGTATTATTTGTCAGAAACAAAGTAGGGAGAAAAGCAACATGGGAGCACAGAAAGGAGCACTTAAAAAGATGCCCGACCACAGATTTATTATGGATGACACAGGCCCTTGGGAAGAGCATATAGAAAAGTGATGAAAGACAGCAGTTGCTAGATACGGGAGTCCTCTTAACTAGCGTTAATTCCAACAGACATGCAAAATACTAATACAGAGATAATTTTTGCATAGAAGAGCCTCATATTCACCACATCGAGAGAAAAACCTGGAATTAAACATCAGACCGACAAGAATAGGTAGACGGTATTGTCAGTTTTCAGCTTGGAAAACAATTAAGCACCAAAGATTTCACAGCATAGAGCTGTTTAAAATATTATCCAGTTCAACAGTACAAAAGCAGCTTTTCTTCAAGATTCGATCAACTCTGGATTCTTTACAACTTCTTTTAAAAATCCCAATGCTTACTTTATGAGGTACCAAAATAGCAATAAATTTGATGGCTCTAAAATTACAGGAGCGCAGGCCATATTTCTGGTTACGAACCTGTTAACATTTCCATTAAACCAGCCCCTGGTTTTGAGTTTATAATGTGACTGTAAAACTGCCCTAGGCCAAAACTTTGTAAGGCATAGCTGGTATTGAAGCAAGGATAGTTAAACAACTATTTTATGAGATCGGCTTGGTTATTTTAAGTTACAAAAAAAAGCTAAGACTGTAAGACTGAAGACGCTTACTTGGGCTCTTCTGAATTCAAACCAGACTGGTTTGTAATACTGCCATTATAGATCTCAGTTTAATAAAACAGATTTAGACCTCTTGGTATTAAAACAGACAAATATATGCTATTATGAAGCAGAAACAAGCTGCTGCCTGCATATGGAGACTTAATTCTGCATGGAGACCTAATTCTGCAGTATTTTATTGGAAATTGTGCTGCTTAAAAAACAGGGGAATGTTAAGACTGCTGGTCTAAAAGCAAGCCTAGCCCAACTTGTTTGTATGTGAAGCTGTGTGTCAACTATCCCTTTGAGCTGTCAAGAGTAAAGCCTACTGTTCCCAAATTCTCAAGCTTCATAAAATACATTCATATTTCTCAATACTGTAAAGAGTTGCTACAGGTTGGGGGAGAGGAGCATGTGTGGAGGAGGGGAACTGCAGAGCTCCCGGCCCACTGACAGTTAGCGGCTCTGCTAAGACATTGCACTTGCTGCCAAACTACTGATGCGTTCATTTTTCAGACAATTTATCAGGTTAAAAGGTATTTTAAGGTTTGTCTGTTCTGAATAGCAACACTGTATTTAGCTTCTCAAATCAGTTACAATACAAGAAAACACTCCTCCCGGTTCTTCCTGCTCCTTTTTCTTCTTTTTTAAGATACATTTTGTTGTTGATTCATTGCCATTTTCTTTCTTCAGGCACCAGTTACACTAGGAAAGTATTATAAAACTGGTTATCTGATGTATTTCTTCTTACAAACACTGTGTATCCCCCATGTTCTGCAGACAGGTCAGGAACAAAGTCAATATTATGACTCTTCACTTTGTACAAACAATCAAAGTTCAGTCTCACATTTCACTACCAGCTCTCCGTACTTTGAAACTAAATCGCTTCCAGTAATGAGACAGTCAAAAAAAAAAAACCACACACACACACACACAAAAACATGTTCAAATCAATTAATTTAAAAAGTGATTAATAAACTCATAATGAAGTTATCCTAATCCCATAAAGGAAATCTTTCCAGTGCCAATAATAATGGCTTCAGGATTAGCAAACTGACAATAAATTGAAAACAAAAAAATATATTCCTCATACTAGTGATGACAGATGGCCAACAACAAGGTGTCAACACACTTGTGCAACACCGAACCAAGCTGCGATTACTCACACAGCAACTGCACGTTGCCCTTCGTAGACATCACGAAGTTTCATAATGCTGCTAAATCTCCATATTCCACTTCCCATCTCAGGCCTGAAGGCACGTACATCTATGAGATAAAGTCCCCGCTAGGTTACATTTCCACAGAGTAACCTGCTCCACCTCACTTCGAAACCGTGAAATTAATTCCTCCCCGTAAGAATCTAATAACTCCCACTTGCACAAACACAATCAAAATTCCGACTTCATTTCTTTCTCTGGTCCGAGTGTAGAAACCTTCTGTGACTTAAACTCTGAAGTACTTTAATATTCTTAAAAAAAATGTTCAGTTATTAAAAGAGTTACTTGCAGCCTCAGTAAACAACGCTGCTTTACCAAACAAGACATTCACAAGCTATCTCACGTCACAGAATGGCCAAGGTTGGAAGGGACCTCTGGAGATCAGCTAGTCCCACATCCCACCCTCCAGCAGGGTGACCTACAGCACGTTGCCCAAGACCCTGTCCAGATGGCTTTGAGCATCTCCGTGGAAGGAGACTCCACAATCTCTCTGGGCAACCTGGCCCAGTGTTCTGTCACCTTCACAGGAAAGAAGTTTCTCCTCAGGTTCAGACAGAACTTCCTGCGTTCCAGCTTCTGCCCGCTGCCTCGCATCCTATCACTGGGCACCACGGAGAAGAGCCTGGCCCCATCCTCTTGATATCCTCACTTCAGATACTTGTACACACTGATCAGATCCCCGCTGAGCCTTCTCTTCTCCAGGCTCAACAGGCCCAGCTCTCGCAGCCTTTCCTCATAGGAGGAATGCTCCAGGCCCTTCATCCTCACAGCCCTTTGCTGGACTCGCTCCAGGAGCTCCATGTCTCTCTTGCATCGGGGAAGCCCACAGACATGGCTTCACCAGGGCTGAGTAGAGGGGCAGGATCACCGCCCTCGACCTGCTGGCAATGCTCTTCCTGATGCAACCCAGGAAGGATATCACTGAACTATTTTCTCACAGAGTACTGGGAAGAAACCATATTAGGTGACTTCATTTATTTTCAGTCGTTTCCTCCAAGCTCAAGGCTGGTCCATCCCAATGTTCAGGAAGTTAAGTAAAGGTGGCGGGAGGCCTGCCTGGCTGAGAAAGGAGCTCCTGACTAAATTCAGGAAAAACGAGGGAAAAATACCAGAGGTGGAAGACACGACCAGGTCGCATGGGAGAAACAGAGAGACACTGGCCAAGCATGCAGAGACAGAGTCAGGGAAGCCAAATTCTCCAGAGTTGAATCTGGTGAGGGATATTAAGAGCAAACGAGAAAGGCTTCTACTAGTACAGCTGCACAAGGAAGACAGGGAAAACGTGGGCCTGCTGCCAAATGGGGCAAGGGACCCGTAAAAGGCTGAGATACTCAATGCCTTCTTCGCCTCGGCCTTTACTGGTAAGATTTGCCTTCAGAAATCCCAGGACCATGAGACCAGTGGGAAAGTCTGCAGTAAGGAAGACCTACCCTCACTAGAGGAGGATCAGGTCAGGGAACATTTAAACAGACTGGATACATCCAAGTCCATAGGACCTGACAGGAGGCACCCACGATGGCCAGCTCACGTCCTTGCCAAGCCACTCTCAATTATCTTCAAAAGGTAATGGCAATTGGGGGAAGGTTCCCAAGGACTGGACGAAAGCAAGTGTCACCCTGTCTTCAAGGAGGACGACCTACTCCCAAACATATGAAGGACAAGAAGGTGACTGGGAATAGTCAGCACGGATTCACAAAAGGGAAATCTCACCTGATAGCCCTCTATGACAAAATGATTAGCTTGGCAGATGAAGGGAGGGCAGCGTATGTTGTTTATCTTCGCTGTAACAAAGCTTTCGACATTGTCTCTCGTGTCTCTCTCTCCCATGACGCCTCCTTGACAAACTGATGAAGTATGAGCTAGATGAAAGGACAGTGAGGGGGACTGGAAAGTGGCTTAACCTCCAAGCTCAAAGGGTTGTGATCAGCGGCAGAAAGTCCAGCTGGAGGCCAGTCACTACTGACGTAATCCAGGGGTTGATACTCTTCAACCTCTTCAGCAATGACTTGGATGACAGGACAGATGGTCCCCTCAGCAAGTTTGCAGACGATACAAAACTGAGAGGAAGGGCTGATACACCAGAGGGACCTCGACAGACTGCAGAAATGGGCAGACAGGAACCTCACGAAGGTCAAAGGGAAATGCCAAGTCCTGCACTTGGAGAGCAATAACACTAGGCACCAGTACATCCTGAGGGCCAATCAGCTGGAAAGCAGTTTTGCAGAGAAGGACCTGAGAGTTCTGGCTGGGAGGCAACAACCTGGACATGAGACAGCAATATGCCCTTGAGGCAAAGATGGCCAACAGCATCCCGGGCTGCACTAGGCACAGCGCTGCCAGCAGGTCAAGGGAGGTGATCCTTCCCCTTGCCTCAACACTGGTGAGGTCACACTTGGAGGGCTCTTTCCAGTGCTGGAGATACATGCATGAGACATGGACATACTGAAGTGAGTTCAGGACAGAGTCACAAAGATAATTAAGGGAATGGAAAATTTGATGTATGAGGAGAGGCTGAGAGAGCTGGGACTCTGGAGAGCCTGGAGAAGAGAAGGCCTGGGGGGAAGAGGACACAGAGGCAGCGGAATCTTACCCATGTGCATAAATAACTGATGGGAGAGTATAAAGAAGAGAGTACCAGACTCTCCTCCGGGGTGCCTAGTGAAAGGACAAGAGGTAACAGGCACAAACTGGAACACAGGAAACTCCATTTAAACATAAGAGAAAACATTTTTACTGTGAAGGTGGGTCAAACCATGGAACAGCTTGCCCAGACACGTTGTGGAGTCTCCCAGTTTTGGAGGTATTCAAAAGCTGACTGCACATGGTCCTCAGCGACCTGCTCTAGTTGACCCTGCTTCTCACGTGGTCAACTCTAGATAAGCTGACGATCTAGACAATCTCTACAGGTCCCTTCCAACCTCAGCTATTCCACGAACTGGCAATTCAGAACGTAAATTAAGAATTTCATCCACACTTTAAATTCCTTAGAGTTATCCATAAGGTGTCTCACATTGGTCAGGAAACACCTCCTGAGTTTACAGCTCAATCCATTTTCACGGTTACTATTAAATCCTACCACAGCTCTCCATGCAAATATTAACTCATCTATCCCAACCTCACAGAAAGCACATACGGTAGGTACAATTTTAAACTTTTTTCTTCATTATAAATCTTGCATTTTATTCAGTCTGCATGCGGTTTTGCACATTGCTGACTCTTTTGGTGTGCCATTCCCTCAAATGCATTTTTTTTTAATCACAAAATTCAGTCCCAAAGTTGGACACAAACTGGATGACTCCCTGAAATCCTTTTTAGTGGCACTTACAAAAATACATTTCTTCTAGCGCATTCAACTACATGTTGATGACCACACGGCACAGCGGCACCCATGAAAAGCCTGGTTACGCCAATAGTCCCATTCCCACAAGCCCAGACAAAACAGAAAGCTGGAATGACCCAAGTGGTAAAAGTGGTACCTGCAGACACGTCCATGACCCAGGAAAGAGAAGCAGCAAGCAGGCTGGAGCTGCGGCAGAGGTTGTTTTCACATTCATCTGATGCTGCTAACATCTTGTGACAGATATAAGGATGAAACATTTATTTTGAGAAACCCATAAGGTTTGCAAATTTCAAATTGGGGATAAACACAGGGGAAGAGAGAAGAAAGCGTAGGGGCTTTTTTAATAGTCACTTTTGCTTTCAGAAACGGTCAGTAATTTCAGCTGTTTCTGTAAGTCACATTGGAAACCCATTGTATAAATCTTTGGCCTGTTAAACTCAAGGCAAGCATGCTTAGAAAAAGTCAATTTATAAATCTGTGTATCCTCTACATCAATTTGAACTGGGGCACATTCCACACAGAGGTGCTACTGAGGCCGGGTTATCTTAAGGACTCGCACATCACTTTTAAGTGCTACTGCAAAATTAGCCTGCTATTGGGAAGCACTGCACCTTCGGATGAAAAGATAGAGAAAATAAGTTTTAAGGAGCATTGACAAGTGGCTGAACTATTTTGTACTGTACAGTAGTATCTCAAGTTAACGAAGATGTCTTGCAATCTCTTAATTTAGCGATATTCAAAACAGTTCCCACCTTTCTCTGACTGAGCGCTGGCACAAGCTGCCTAGAGAGGTTGTGGAGTCTCCTTCGCTGGAGATATTCTAAACTCGCCTGGACGTGGTTCTGGGCAACGTGCTCTAGAGGACCGTGCTTGAGCAGGAGGGTTGGACAAGATGATCTCCAGAGGTCCCTTCCAACCATTCTGTGATTCTCTCACACAGAAGCACCTCACAGTATTAAGTCCCGACATACCTCAAACACTTAGTTTAGCCCAATTTTATAGTAATGTTGTTGCATACCCTGTACTACTCAGCAAATCCCTTTGGAGTTGGCACCAATTTCTATTTTAAACACACAAAAAAAAATTAATGATGAAGAAACATCAGTTGTGTTGGGAATACAAGGAAATCAGTGTCTATACATGCTTTAATTAGTATAACAAATCCAGCTAGGTACTTGCCTCGTTTTTCAAGAGCGCTCTGAACCTTCACGTAGGTCACTTGGTACCACCAACATCCAAGTAAATACTAATCTCCCCTTACATCTTCTACCACTTATCTTTTGAATTTCTCTAGCAAGTTGCAGAGAGCTGTCATGGTAGAGTTTTTTTAAATAGGCAACAAAGAAACAAGCAGTGGAAATTCTGTATTTAGCAAAAAAAAGTTAAAATAAAATTCCATCTATTTTGAAGTGGCACCACTGGTTGGCAGCAGCCCTACCTACGAACCTCACAAAACAAGAGGGTAAACAGTGAGCTGTGTTTTTATTTTTCAACACCACACGCTCAACATAGCTCTATGGAGGCCCTACATACCATCAGATCTTCTTCTAAACAGCTTTAAAAGCAGCAAATAGAAGCACTGAGCGATTACTATCTTTATAGAGCACTAAAAGCAAAGAATATATTAGGATTGCTGATAATGCAGGTGTGTGCTTCTCAAAGATTAAGAACTAGAAATGCCTGAATTAGAAGAAGTTAAGGAAAGAAGTACAGTACTCTGGCTATGCATTATCACAGCTTAACATATTTACGTTTTGTTAACATCTGACTTTAATCCTGCCTTTCCTAGTTTTATATTATGCTTTGATAACATCACCCCAGTCCTGTATTTTAAATCATCCAACTGCACAGGCTTTCAATTTTTGCTTCACTTTAATACAGTTTCAGTTGCCTTTGTGCTGTTCATACTTATTTTTCATGCAAACCAAAACCATCAGATAAAAAGCGCATTTAAGTGCACTAGAGGAACACTGCATAACAACAATCACGTTGTTGCGCTGCATAACAATAGCTTATTACAAAATCAATGACCTGTAAAAAGTTGTACTTAAGCCTATTCTGGCTCAAGTGTTTTCCAAAGCCAATAATTACAGCCTCTGTTATATAGACAGAAATGAAGTACAAACTGATTCTTATTCAAGTAACTGCATAGTACTTTAATGTAGGGCAAGCATAATCATTCTTTTTCTAATTCTAGCTTTTTGAGATGATGCCTCTGTGTATCTGCATACAAAAAACAGTAATTCGCAAAGGGAACTAGGCACGTACCACTTGTCTCTTTGTGATCACGATGAGCAATGAGCAGAGGACCTTCCCTTGAATTCCCTTACAAATCACAGTCCTTAGCTGCCAAAGATCTTCAGGCTGTGTTTGGGAACCCAACCACCAGCTACACCAGTTTTCAGGTAAAGCATTCTTTTCCCTTAAGTTTTTATCTGTTGCATTAAGCAACAGGGGAAAGGAAAAAAAAAAACACCCATAGAATTAGCCAAATTAGTCAAAAAAATAGAGGCTGTCCCTTCTCACATTTGGCATTTGATCTAACAATTAAGTCAATCGCATAATGCCCGATAAGAAATCGGCAGGTTATTTCATTTTCTTGACTTGCAGGCTTCAGATTCTGACACAACCCTAAAACAGGTACAAGGCCAAGCCCGTAGGGTAACGATTACATCGGCACTCGGGGAAGAAGTTTGCTGGCTGAGCAAGAAGCAGGTGGATATACGCCACTGTACGGCTCATTACAAGATTTTCATAAAGGACTAGGAACAGCCTTAAAGAAGCAATCTAAAACACGCGAGCCACTCAAGACAGTGCATCAAGGCCCTCCCTAGACTTCTGGAGTCATTGTCAACACTCCCATATTGCGCTGTGGTGGGGCAAGATTTGCGTGGTCTACCAGTACTGGGATCACCTGTGGTTCCTCTTCACATGTCATGAAGGCAGCATAGGACTGACTCTACCTAGCATCTCTGCCCTAGTCTCTGAGACGCTTCTCATTGCTGGACGTCAGCTGACAGAGTGATCTCACTTTGGCTGGAAATGGTTTTTTGCACAGCCTCTCTAGCCCCGTGCTTTCCCCGCAAAACTAGGGGGTTCTTTAATTTTGGCCTGTGCATTGCACAACTACTGGGAGGGGATTTCTTCAGCTTTGTTCTTTTTAATACTTAGGAGCCTTATACTGACTGGTGGGGTCTTTTCCAGTGAATGCTCCATTAAGTCTTTGAGTAGAATCATCAACACTGAAAAGCTCTTGAGGGTAGATGCTATCCAAGCTGTTATCCTCTGCCCTCACCAAAGGCATACTCTAGCCTCCCAGGCCCTTACTTCAACCTAACACACGAGACCATCAAACCTTTTCAGAGAAAAGAAACATATGTTTAATATTCTAGACCTTCCGGGGTTCGATATTTGTGTTGTCCCGAGAAATAAGGAACGCACGAGTTTAAGGGAAAGTCGTCGCTTAGCTGACTGAATAAGATATAATTTGAGAACGTGGATTTCCTCAGTGTGCAGTCAATGATGATGACAGAGGACAACGACAACTGCTTACCAGCCAATTGATTTTCAACAAAATCAATTTAGTTTTCTCTTTTCTATTGCGTGGGATCATCTCAAGAGCACTCGATCAGGGTAAGTGAAGCACCGTTTTTAACCCCCCCCTCCATCCAATGGTAGGGGACAGCTTGGATCAAAACTACACCATGCTTTACACTGCATGTGCAGTAAATAAAACACAGCCTTTGCCACAAAGCATTTTAGCCTATTTCCCTTAAAGCAACTGCTTGTGTTATTTCATCTAGCTCATCACAACCCACCTGACCAAATCCAGTTAAGTCATTAGTTACCGACAGTTAACCAGTTTCAGACAACTTGGAACAAGCACCAGAAACAGCAGGTAATTAAGTTGCTGCAAGTTTTGTAAAAATTGGTACCAAAAAAAAAAATCAGTGTTCATGCAGTGTTTGCGAGCTCATCAGCCAGCTAATGGGCACAAACCTAACGACAGTTCTGTCAACACGGCATACGTCCGAGTCCCCAGCGTGCACTGCCCCCTCATCGTGCGAGGGTGGCATAAAGGACATGGAGACGACTGGAGAAAAATTGTCGTTTCTTAGCACGTGCCAGACCACAGAGGCAAACCTGAAGAATTCAAGCAAGCAGGTTCCACCACCTTCACAACAATTTGCTGCACCGTTTTTATAATACATTTGAACATACGTAGGTGCTAAAAAGACTCTGATCATGATAAAACTGTTGCTTTCCAGTGCATTTTTATTCTATTTAATTTTTTTCCCTGGAAACCATAAATTAATTCGCCACCATGTCATAGTGATGAAATATGCTATTTGTACACGGCAATCTAACTACCAGCAGAAACAGGAGGTGATAATAAATTAAGCTGACATGACATAAACAAGATGCTTCCCTAAGCCAATATTATACATAGACCTATCAATCTACTCTTCCTTCAGCCCCTATTAGAACATGCAAAATACTTATGTTGGGGGCTAAAAGTGAACTGTTTAAAATGCTGGCTTATATTTGCCATGAAAGAGCAAGCCTTTAACATGATACCGTTAAAGGGTGCAGTAATTGAAGAGAATTGCACAAGAGCTTCAGTAAGCACAGAATTTGTATATACTTGTAATCTGTACTCTTAAATGTGTTTAAACTGTAAGAGTGCTTCACACTAGCTAGATGTAAAACAGGAGAGCAGATTTTTTTTCCTCAACAAGGAGCACGTCCTCTAGCTACCCAGAGCCAAGTGATGTGCACGAAAATATTTTTTCTTGCACAAAAGCAGACTGTTCAGTTGTGACAACCTACCCTCTACGCTAGAAACTATTTTTTCTTTCCCCTATGCGGTAGGGCTTCACAGGTTGGAGAAATCTGTCCCTCAAGCCCCTATGCACATTGGCATAGTAGCCAGCTTTAAGAAAAAGTGACTTAAAGGGAGAAAAACGTTACTAGCTATTCCACCTGAAGGATACTCGATTCATCACATTATTAGTTTTAGCCTGAAATTGGGTCTTTAGGATACCTGCAAGTTAGACAAAGGTCTGCCAGGGCTTAGTAGATTGACCCCTCGCTCATCCCCCACCTTCAGCATCTTTAGTATCATACAATTTCCTGCCAACAGAAAACTATGGTTAATTTTATTCTATATGCAACCTCAAGGCATAACAGAGTAAAAGTCGATGGTGCTTCCACCACATCTCGAGGACTGTCCTGAAAGCCCAGAGCAGGGTAACTGAACTGAGCAAGAGATGCCGCAGGCACTACGGGAAGGGAGGCCGAAAAGGTTGGGCTGCCTCAGGTTGGGAGGGCAGGGGGAGCAGGGGAGCCTGATCCCCCACGAGGAGGCTGGATAAACTGAGCCCTAATAAGAGAGCTGCTTGAGACTCGATTCAACTAATCTCTTATTAGTTTCAGATAAAAAGGCTTTACACAGGAGGTAGCTTGATTTCTGATAACCAGCATTCAATTAAGTCATATTCTTCTCACTCGTTACTGTAAGAGGTGTACAGCAACGCTACTGGTTTGGGGAAAAATGTTAACCTAGCTGTTAACAAAAATAAAGTCTTTCTGTAAATAAACATGTTTTCTAGTTTTGATGCAGCTTGGGAAAGCGAGAGACTGGTTGGTATGGCTTCAGCTGTGCTACCATCAAATTTCTTCTGCTCCCAAACGCCCGGATACAAGAGCTTCCAGGCTATCATTACCGTAACCCATAATGGACAATATTTAGATTGAGGGAAAAAAAACACAAAAAAAGAAAAGGTATTTCAGAGTACAGTTATTCTACTGAAAGCAAAGAACACAACCTCCTTGTAAAAGGCATTTTTCATCATGCTTTTAAACTATTTTTAACTTGTTCACAGCCAATAAAATCAGTTCATGCAAAGGGGAATTCAAAGCACTAAACAATTCACCTTTGAAAACCACAAGCATGTCACAGAATGGTTGAGGTTGGAAGGGACCTCTGGAGATCATCTCGTCCAAGCCCCCTCCTCAAGCAGGGACCTCTAGAGCATATTGCCCAGGATCACATCCAGACGGGTTTGGAATATCTCCAGCGAAGGAGACTCCACTACCTCTCCGGGCAACCTGTGCCAGGGCTCTGTCACCCTCACAGCAAAGAAGTTTCTCCTCAGGTTCAGATGCAACTGCCTGTGTTGCAGTTTGTGCCCGTTGCCTCTTGTCCTGTTGCTGGGCACCACGGAGAAGAGATTGGCCTCATCCTCTTGACAACCTCCCTTCTGGTACTTGTACACATTGATCAGATCCCCTCCTCAGTCTTCTCTTCTCCAGGCTGAACAGGCCCAGCTCTCGCAGCCTTTCTTCAGAGGAGAGGTGCTCCAGTCCCCTCATCATCTTTGTAGCCTCCGCTGGACTCCCTCCAGGAGCTCCATGTCTCTCTTGTCCTGGGGAGCCCACAACTGCACACAGGACTCCAGATATGGCCTCACCAGGGCTGAGAAGAGGGGACCCCCCCTTCAGATACTTGTACACGTTGATCAGATCCCCTCTCAGTCTCCTCTTCTCCAGGCTCAACAGGCCCAGCTCTTGCAGCCTTTCTTCAGAGGAGAGGTGCTCCAGTCCCCTCATCATCTTTGTAGCCTCCGCTGGACTCCCTCCAGGAGCTCCATGTCTCTCTTGTCCTGGGGAGCCCACAACTGCACACAGGACTCCAGGTGAGGCCTTACTAGGGCTGAGGAGAGGGGCAGGATCACCTCCCTCCACCTGCTGGCAACACTCTGCCTCATGCACCCCAGGAGACCATCGGCCTTCTTGGCCACAAGGGCACATTGCTGCCTCATGTTTAACTTGTTGTCCACCAGCACTCCCAGGTCCTTCTCGGCAGAGCTGCTCTCCAGCAGGTCAGTCCCACATACTATTAGCGTACTAAGGTTTGCGTGTCAGAATTTACTGGTGTTCAGCAACAGAATACAGCCCTCTGCACAAGCTCCGACAGTCTGCCATGAAAAAATCCCAATTCCAGCATTTGGATAGCCAGCCCAAATAACAGAGCTTTCAAAGAGCTTTTTTCAATAGCGTGAAATATTTTTGCAAATGCTCTTCACGTTCCCAGGTACGGTTTTAATGTTCAAATACCAATAAAGGAGCCCTCAAGTCTGGGTTTGCAGCCTGCAAGAAGCACGATGGCTGCACACAACAGAATCGACGCATGATTATTTCCACAGAATATACTTGTATTGAAGTTTGAGTCAGTTTTTCAAAGGAAGCTCAAGTCGCCCTGCAGCCTGCTGAAGCAGCCTAATAAACCCGAGTTGTCCTTGCTGCTGCCAAAGCTGGAGAGCTCACTACTCCCTTCCTCCTTGCCAAGGGTTTCCTCATCCCCTCTGCTCCCGACCAAGCAGCCCCTGCTTCCCTTCTGTGG